TGAATTGTTGAATTTTTAAAAATCGTAGTTTTTTTTTTTTTTTAATGGCGATAAAATACACATAACATAAAATGTGCCATTTTAAATGTCCAGTGACATTAGTTATACTCACAGTGTTCTGCAACCATTACCACTGACTATTTCTAGAACTTTTTCTTTCATCATCCCAGACAGAAATGCCATTCATTAAACTAACTTGGCACCCCCCAACCTCTAGTGGCCTGAAGTCTTTCTTTGTGAGTTATCCTATTCTAGGGTACCCCACATATGCAAAGTCATATTCTTTTGGGCCTGACTTAGTTAACTTGGTATAATGATTTCAGTCCTTCTGTGCACATTTCATTCCTTTTTATGGCTCAGTAGTATTCCATATTGCAAGGCTATGCCATATTTTATTTATTCATTCATGTGGCAATGAACAGTTGGGTTGTTTTCACCTTTTGACTATTGTGAATAATACTGTTATGAACATTGGTTTACAAGTATCTAAGTCCCTGCTTTCAATTCTTTTAGACATGGTTAAATTTTATACCAGTAGCAGAGTGAATAGCCAAAGTGCCTTATGAAGCTTTGAGCAGAAGATGTGGTGGAGCGTTTCTTCTACTTTGTATTGTTGGTAAAATCTGATGTCGTTGACTGTTCACTAGTACCTCCTTTGCGGTAGGACTGTCTTTATGCTTTTTGTAAGCAAGTACTGTCTTTTTGGCTCAGTACTTAGCAAGGTAACCAGGTTAAGTACTTACTGAGTAGCACCTGGATTTCCTAGCCTAGTATTCATTAGAGGAGTTGTTCCCCAGAGTGCCAAGTTTTGTCATCTATCATTTTCTTTTTGGTTCATTAATTAACATATGCTCAGGGAACAGAAAACAGTTCTTAATATTGGCTTTAGCCAAACATAATTAAGGAAGTACATTTACTACTGCAAAAAGTCCCAATATAGGTAAAACACAATTCAACAAACATTTGTTGACAACTTGCTGTGTACCAGAAACACTTCAAAATGTGTCATTTCAGAGCAGTTTCAAAGCTCAGGTGTAATACCTATTTGAAAGATGTTCCTTTAATCCATACTCTTTTTTTTTTTTTTTTTAAACTGTGAGACCATTATAACAACATTCCAGATAGTTTGGAAACAAGAGAATAAGCATTACCCACAGTCCCACACTAACAAAACTCTCTTTTCATTTTATAGTGTGAATCTGAGAATTGAACTAAAAAATCATTTATTTGGAACAATAAAATCCTGAATGCAGCTGTTGGTCATTAATTTTTAAATGATTTTGTAAAACTGGAAGTAAAACAAGGTACTGGTCTCGTTTGCAGGCCTCCGTTTTGCAGTTGCCCGTAACTATTTAATCAATGAAATAAGCCACTCTTCTCTTGGTGGAGCACTGAATTGACATACGACGTCTTTGGGGGACGGGGCAGTGGACTGTTGGCTTCTGTGCAAGGGACCGGGTATTCAGGCACCTGTCCTCCCTTGGGTCTTTTATATGATCAGGGATTGAAGCGGATGCTTTTGTGACTGTGCCAGGGGACAGGGCACAGTTTGGATGCTCACTTATGGGCTCAAAGACCTTGCATGGGGCACAGGAGGTAAGACATGGACGGGCCCCCTGGTGAGCAAAACCCGAACCCAGGACGCGTGATGGAGCCTCCAGAGGAGTGATGGCTAGGACGTGCTGCTGCAGAGGGGAGGGGGCAGGAACCCACTTGGGCCACCACGGGAGCCCTGCACGTAAATAGGAAGTGGGTAAGACCGGACCGATGCCGAGGGGCGATAAGAGGTTCTTTCTAGCATAAATGCGCCTGACATTTGTTGTTTTCTGAGTGCCTGAGACAGAGCCCAGTGCTTTATACTTCAACTTTATAATTGCTGTCCCCACTTTGCAGATGAGGAAACTGAGGCAGAATTCAGTAACCCGCCCGCAGATGGCACATGCAGTAGTGGCACTGCCAGGGTGCATGTCTAGACGTGCTTTGATTCAGTCTGTTAGAGTGTTCCACATGGTTGTTGGTACTTATTGAAAACTTCCCAGCCCTGTTTGCACACCTCATTGATTGTCCTAAGAACTCTAGGAAAGGAGGATATTTTCATTTTCCTGTGTGTGCCAGGCATGGAAACTTGGACACAGAGAGTTCCAATGACCTACCTTAAGTCCCACAGCTAGGACTCCCACCTGGCCCTGGGAAGTCTCGAGAGGCCAGCAGTCTTTATTTGGTTAATAAATGAATCATGTTTCTGTGAGCTCTTAACATGGACTCATGAAGAGTTTGAATGGATGGAAATACATGGCAGTGTACATCCTTTTGGAATTTTTGGATCAAATTTACTACCACGAGCGTATTGACTTAGAGCTCCTTCTTTTTAAAAAGGGATGATTAATTGAAGTAATAGCATCTGCCTTTATTGCTGCCCCCATTTTTCCTTCTTCACTCCTCTGTACTTGCAGACACCCGGCATCCTTAGCCTGGCTGCCCTGTTCAGACACGGGGCCCTGCACACTCAGGTGGTCTCCCCTGTGGCACCTCATGTTGTTTGTGCTTAATAACATCTGATGATTATAATCAACCTTATTGTCACCCTCCCCAAACCATGGTGGCTTGGGAGCCTTTTGATGGGGGGTGTCCTCTGCTTAACACAGTGGGGCTACGGTTGTGCCTCTGGGTCAAGTATCTGTCCGCATAATCAAGAGGAGTCAGACTGGTCATCTGTACACACACCTGCGGAAACCGCTCCGGCCTTTCTGTTGCTTTGTGCTGTCCCCGCTCTTTGCACGTGTGAGTAGGTCTCCTGTTTCCTTTACCTTCCAGCCTCCTTTGGCCACAGCCTGGTCTACTCTTGCAGCTTTTCAGCCCTGGAGCCAAGAGACATTCCCACTCAACTCCAGTGGCGCTCTTGCATTTCTTATGGTCTCTTTGTAACCAAGTCAAGGTGTTTTTTCCCATCTCCTGTGACCTTGCTGTGGCATCTGCCCCAGAGCGCCCAGCTCTGAAGCTCTCTGATGTGTCACTGTCTTTGCCACTTCTCTGGGGCCTCTCTCTTTTCCTTCCTTTTGAAAAATCTCTTGTGACTCTTTCCAACTCTCTTGGCTGGTAGAGCCCTGCAAGACTGGCGCTGGGTTTTTTTGTTTTCCCCCCTTTGATGATCTGGTACTGTCTGGGGTTTTTAACTTCCCAGGGTCTCTCTGTGCCATGACCATCTGAACTCCACGTGAACCTCAGGTCGGAAGCCACTCTCTGCTGAGAAGCCCCTGCATGCACCAGTTGGCAGGTGCGAGAGGCGCCTGCTCTCCCGTCCCAGTCCCCATCCGATCATGTCCCTGTCTCCCACCCCTGCTGTCCTGGACTTGCTGCCTACAGAAGGAAATGAAAGCCCCTAGGGAGCTCTGTGTGGTATTGGCCCACCTCACCCAGGGACCTTTTCTTCTGCACCTGTCACCTAGGTCGTCCATGACAAGCTATAACAACATGTTCTTCCTCTGGTTGCTTCTCCTCTTATTCTTGACTCCGTCAGCAGGTTCTCGTTGCTGTCACCTGCATACCAGCACCTCTCACTCCTTCCTTGGATCTGGTCATTTCTCTGGTGTCTTGCTGTGCGTGCCACTTTTCAGTGAAAAACTGATGTTCCAAGTACTTACTCCCAGGTGTGCAGGGCTGGGTGTGCAGGTTGATCTGGTCTCATACTTGGCCTTGCCCCTCACCCTCTCCACAGGAACCCTGTTTTGCAGCCAGGCTGGTTTCGTTGTAGTCTGAAAGGCCTCATGTGCCAACTTCAGTGCCAGCCAGCTCCTCCTGCTCCTCCTTGCCTGCCCTTGATATGCACTGATACAGTCAGGGCCCAGCCTGCCTCTTACTTTGTCTTCATCTTTTTATTTTTTGGTACCAGGGATTGAACCCAGGGACATTTAACCACTGAGCCACATCCTCAGCCCCTCCTGCCCCACTTTTCCTCATCCCTTTTTTTGGTGTCTTATTTAGAGACAGGGTCTCGGAGAGTAGCTTAGGGCCTTACCTAGTTCCTGGGGCTGGCTTCGAACTCACAATCCTCCTGTCTCAGCCTCCCAAGCTGCTGGGATTCCAGGTGTGCACCACTGCACCCAGCCTTCGTCTTCATCTGAAAGCTTGACCTTGCAGCCGTATTTTACTTATTCTGGCACATAAGCAGTTTGTTCTTTAAGCTCTGGAATGTGTGTGGAGACCACGAGTCACAATGACATGTACTTTCCCCAGCCCTAACATGACGCTTTTGCAGATCCTCATGAACAGACCTTTGAATACATAGATGCCTGCACAAATAAATGAACTGTCTACTGTAAACGTTCTCAGGTTCAAGTTTCGTATTTGGAGTCTAAGGTTTGCGTCTTTATTAAACTAGATATGCTGGCTTCCTGTCTAGGAAACCTGTCTAGACATTATTAGGTTGATCAGGTTGAAACCCAGCTTCTGCCACAACTGTCTGACCTTAAAAATGGGATTCTCGTTTTCTGCCTTGAGATTCTGAATAGTTCTGCTTTTAATGAATGTTGCCATGTAAGGAAAATTATATAGAAATAACTGAATCCACAAGGCCTGAAGGACTTGTCATGTCATTGTCATGTACGTTCTGCCAAAAGCATGATCTGCTGGTGGCTTTTCATTACGGTAGCGTGAGACTTTGTTTTTGTGGTCTCTAACCCAACTGTCCGCTCCATGACGATGGCCCATAATCAGAATAGAAACCTGACCCGCTGGCGTATTTAACCCAAGAAGGCTGTGACATCTAGCAAGCTTGGAACACCAAATGTGACCCTTAAGATTAATTGAGGGTTGCAGAAAATAACTTTCTAGATGAACTTTAGAAACTCTCTAGACAGAACTCCCTTCCTAGCCATAAATAGCCAGCAGCTTTGTCCTATTTTTATTGTAGAGAGCACAGAAGATGGAACTCGGCACAGGAAGAAATGTTTTATTTCGCCAAGGAAGATCATACTCAACATGATTCTTATTTTTCTTGGCAGGCTCTTCCCAACCATCTGTGAGTCCAGAGGAACCGTCTCCACCATCCATCGATCCAGCACAATCAGAGTTAATAGTCAGGGCTGGCGACCAGCTCCAGCTGGTATGCACGGATCCAGACTTTGTCAAATGGACCTTCGAGACCCTGGATAAGAGGAGTGAGAGTAGGCATAATGAATGGGTCAGGGAGAAGGCCGAGGCTGCCGACACCGGCAAGTACACCTGCACCAACCGAGGAGGCCTGAGCAGCTCCATTTATGTGTTTGTTAAAGGTAAATGCCTGACCCTCTGCAACGCTCCGTTTCAGGGGACTTAACATCCTGTTCTTAATTTCTGATGGCATAAATGACTAACCCAAATTTAGAAGTATATCTGTTTTTCCTAGGACGGGGGATTGAACCAGGAGTGATCTACCATTGAGCTATAAAATTAACTTAGCGCCCCCCCCAACCTTTTTTTTTTTTTTAATTTTCGATTTTGAGGGTCCCTGGAGTGGCCTGGAATTTGCAGACCTCCTGTCTTAGCCTCCCGAGTTGGGAGTGAGATTAGGTCTGAACCACTGCACCTTGGTGTGTGTCAGATTATGCTGGCTGGGTCTAGAAAACCTAAAACAAGTGGATAATTTTTTTCTTCTTTTTTTTTTCTTTTTGCTGGTTTCTCCCATTTCTGGATTCATAGTGGCTTTGAGTGTGACCCAGCTGGAGGTCTGCAAGGCTGTGATACTCTTCTTAATGAGCTTGTTTAGTCCATTTGTCCCGGTGCTCCAAGTAAACCCTGAGAATAAATTATGCCCTTTGGGAAAGCTACATTTTAATGCCTTCAGATACGAGATACTCCCATTTAGCAAAAACACTTTGGGGAACCAAAGGCCTCTAAGGGCCTAAACAAACCAGCACTTCAAAAGATTTGGCTCTCTCTTAGAGAATAAATGTCTGAAAAACAACTTGGACAGCTAACATCCCTTTTCTGTCATAGATTCTTTGTACGGTGGCTATTCCTTTAAAAAATTACATGGTCTTAGCAAAAGGAAAAGAAAGGTGATGGTTGGATTTCTCTACCTCATTTCCTATAAAGAATTCAGTGGTGCGTCTATTTGTGCTTTTGCTATCTCGTTAAGAGTAGGTTAGCTGGGCAGGGCTGTATCTTTTGGCTGATATAAACACAGATTTATGGAAAGTTTGAGACAAATTCAAGTTACAGGAGGAGAAATGAAGTCCTCCTGGGACTGGGCATACCAAAACTGGGATTGTCATTAAAAACAGGCCTGAGGGACAAGGCCTTCTCCATGATATTGTGGATAAACAGTGGCTACATTTATCATGATGGGCAGTCTACAGCTACCCGAAGAAGAGTCTATTTCCTCACTGCAGTATTTGAGTAAAATTACCAGTTCTGTCTTCCTTGGGGAATTGTTAGAATTGTTCAAATGCTAGCATGCTCTATCAAGGGTTAATAAAGCTGACTTGGAAGATTGCTATGAAATTGAGTGTGTCTCAGCTTAGTTTATCAGCTGTCCTCTCCTGAGTGGGTAGCTGAGAAGAACTGTCCACTGATAAGCCAGAGCTGAGCTTCAGGGTACGGTTCCATAATTGTTGAGCCAGTCCACGTGACCTTTGAAAAGGTGCTCGTAATCTCCAGGTGATAATGAAGCATCGTTCCTACTTATTAACAGGACGAGTAGACAACTGGATATACGAGGAAATGCTGAATTAGCCAAATCACTCACCCACCTCACACAACTTTCTTTACAGGAAAAGTCATCTTCCATAACTTGGAACTGCCTTTAATTACAGATTGAAGGCGATTGGATCCTCCAGTCATCTATGTCATAGCAGTGAAGAAAAGGGGGGCATGGTTGGAGGAGCTAGAGGCTGATGACTGAGAAACAGTAGGGAGAAAAACAACCAGCTGCAGTTTCTTCAGATCATAGTGTGACCATGACATTCTTTGAATAATTTTCTTTTTTCAAAATTAAATGATAAAATAGAACTCTATTTCAGTGATATCAGATTAATTTTTGTGGGACACCTGGTGTCCAGATGTAAAGGACATCTTGAGAAACCAATTTTTAATTGGTAATCTGTTGACCCACCCATTTATCTGCATTTTCATCACAGAGTACAGGGTGGCCTGGGATTGTGTCCTCAGAGTATACAGGATAGTCTCTGCTTATGTGAGGTCCCTGTCGGTTGGAACCCTTCCCTGACTCTGCCCCATGTTCTGACAGCATGATTAACGGTGTTCCCTTCTGCTCACAAATGTCCTGGCCTGGGCAGTAAAGTATCTCAGTGACAGCCCTGCAACTCATAAGCTCTATATGTGCATTTGAGATTATTCACCTTCTACATTTCTTTTGAGAAATATGAATGTTGAGGCCTATGAATGTTGAGGCCTATGTGTTATTTGGACTGCCCAGCCTGCCCAGAGTTCTCTAGAATCTCTTCAGGAGGTGTGGACCATTCTGAAGCCTTGCCGTTCTGGAGAACCTTTTCCTGCCCCTAGCTGGAATTACGTGACTGACCTATTGACTGCTGCTCCTCAGGCTATTACCTTGTTCTTTTCTTACAACTGTTGTAATAGAATATTCTCAGGATTTTAAGAACTCAGATTTTGGGATCTATCACTCTTGGCTTTGAGTTCTGCCCAGTAGTTTCCAGGGTATATCACTTGAGGAGTCTTGCTGTCGGGAGACCTGAGTCTTCTTATCCAAATGGAGATAATGATACAGGCTGAGTCAACCTTATCTGGAAATTTGAAATCCTAAATTCTCTGAAATACGAACCTTTCTGAGATTCAAAGGGACACTCAAAAATTTTTGTATTTTGGATTAGGGATGCTCAACTGGTAAAGTCTTTGCTCAGATTTCAAAATCTAAACATCTCTGAAATCTGAAACACTCCTGGACTGAAGCATTTTGGATAAGGGGTACTCAGCCTGTTGAACTGATCACAGACATTTTGAAGACTAATGATGAGTGTAGTGGTCCAACCTTGGTGCCTGACCTTTGAAAAGTCCATAGGATTATTGAAATCAGTTTTGCTCCTTTGCACAGAAAGAGGCATTTGGGTCACTAAGAATTGCTGTCACAAAAAAAGCAACATTTTAAATATTTTAAGAATGTTTTCAGTGTCTGGGACCAGCCATTCAAAGTACTAATTTTTGATATGTTTATAGATCCTGATAAGCTTTTCCTCGTCGGCCTTCCCCTGTATGGGAAAGAAGACAATGATACGCTGGTCCGCTGTCCTGTGACGGACCCAGAAGTGACCAGTTATTCCCTCATGGAATGTGAAGGGAAACCTCTCCCCAAGGACCTGACATTTGTCCCTGACCCCAAGGCTGGCATCACAATCAGGAACGTGAAACGCACCTACCATCGGCTCTGTTTCCGCTGCGCTGCCATCTGGAAGGGCAAGTTGGTGCAGTCAGATAGGTTGATCCTGAAAGTGAGGGCAGGTATGGGCATCGTCTTTCCAATTTTCTAGGCACTTGAGAATCTATTCACCTGAGGTTGGCTTCTGTCTTTTCACTGTGCACCTTAGCATAGGTGATCAGGACATGGGCCCTTCATTTGGTCCCCTAGCTTCCAATTAATGTCAGCTCTCACCGTGGCAGCCCTAAACGACTCACTTTTTGACATTTTTCTAGTTGAGATGGGGAGTCTGCCATAGATTGACACATAGACTACATTGGGATGGTCATTAAACCTACTGGCTTAGGTCATCCCAAAGATACATAATTGCATCAAGTGTTCACACCAAGAGAAACCCAGTAGGAAACTTTAATTATGCTGTTTGAAAAGATTAACCTTGCAATGATTCATTCTTTAATTTACTATTGACATGTGAATTGACTTTCTCTTTAGCCGATTAATTTTAATACATTTCCAAACTATTCCAGATCTGAGAAGGAAAGCATTAATTGACTCTGGACCTTGTTATTATTGTGGCATTATGTAGAATATTTCAGAAGCCAGAAGATAATCTAGGTTTTGTATGTGAGATTATCTAATTCAGCACCAGTTGGCATTCAGCTGTTAAGTCATTTTTATTAATGCTTTTGAAAAAGTACGCTCTTTGAAATGAAGGGAAGTTTGATTATTTTAAAACCTGTGGTTTTCAGAAGCAAGCAAGGTATTGTTTGCATAATGAATGGGAAAGATGCTGTTTGGTTAAAAGAATAAAATTCCTTGTAAGTCCCATCCCCTGAAATCATCAAGATTGTCTGAGATAGAGAGCAAAACTGCTGTACAATGGGGCGGGTGGGGATAGGGGGTAGGGGGGTGGAGTGCTCCTGTTTTGAAAAAGCATTTTCTAGAATCTCATATTAGGCATACTATTCTACTCAATAGTAATTAATTTATTTGAAGGATATATGATATAATTGCTGATGTCCTCAAATAGGCAAATAATATAAGTAGGTGAGTACCATACTTTAAGTTATAACAAAGGAAACTGCACATTTGAGGGGGAAAAAAGGGAAGTTAAAATTTCATGTCAAAATAGAATGACTGATTTGAGGGCCGTATTTCTTTTTATTCCAGCTATCAAAGCTATTCCAGTTGTGTCTGTGTCCAAAACAAACTATCTTCTTAGGGAAGGGGAAGAATTTTCAGTGACATGCACAATTAAAGATGTGTCCACATCCGTGGGCTCAATGTGGTTGAAGGACAACAGTCTGGTGAGTGAATTGTTCCATTCGTTCATCTCAACACATTGTTCTGCCTGGGAGTCTTTAAGTTTTTGTTTGTTTGTTTGTTTTTTTTAAGAGTGCCCTGGGCGGGACTCCACTGGCATGCTTAGCTGGTTGGAATTGTGGGGAGTGTGTTCAGATGCTTATCTGCCCTTTATGTACTTCTGCATATACATTTATTATTAGTGACAAGTAACTGTCATGTTGTAAATTTATTGGGCAAGAACGTCAGCATCATATTATTAATGCTGTTTCTTTGAATGACTTCAGTAGGGAAAGTTTTTTTTTTAGAAAGGGAGTGGTCAGCTTCATAAATACCTTGCTTTAAGCTATTGTATTATGCAGGCCAGATTACTTAAAGTAGAAGGGGTTGCTAATGTTTCCCTTCCATACTTACAAAGAGTAAGTGGTCTCAAATATGAACCAGAAAGCGCTTTCTTCCCTGACAAAATGGCCTAATCACTGGAGAGCCAGGTTTCTTTTTGTATGGATCTGATTTCCTCCTTTGAGGCTGATTACCTGAGATTAAGTTGCTAATGGTTTTCTATTTGTTTTAGTTGCTATTAATAAAATGATTCTCTTTAATCCAAAACATTTGGACATGGTTAGGTTCTCATTCATTTAACAGATGTTGAATGTCAGAAACTGTGTTAGGTATCTTACAAATTTTAGCCACGTTTTTGTTTGTTTGTTTGTTTGTTTTATTTGCTGCTTTTTTTTTTTTTTTTTTTTTTTTTGTAGTGCTGGGATTGAACCCAGGTCCTCCTGTGTGCTAGGCAAGGTCTTTGTCACTGAGCCACATCTCCAGCCAAGATATTTAAAGCTGTTTCCTCCCCCGCCCCCCCATCCCTAAACACTCATATTACTAATAAGGCTTTCAAGTGTCTTAATTTCCCTAATATTTTACTTTTAAAATCCTCACTGATCAGATTTTCAGTAGCTGTTTCTTTCTTTCTTTTGAGTAACCTTGGCCATCTAGTTAACTAGCTATCACAGTGGTTTCTCTTCATTACACATGTCTGCATTAGATTAAAAAGAAATACTACATTTTATTCCTCTCTCTTCCCCCTCCTCCTCATGCCTTATTTTCAACATTGGCAATTTCATGCCTGTTTAAAGAATTCTTTGCCAAAAACCATGGTAATTAGCATAGTGCAGACTTTCTGATGGTATTCATGTAGACCTGTGATAGATATCTTGCTCAATGAAGCCTGCCATTGACCTGGACAATGGATTGTATTAGAGACTTATTCTTTCAAGCCAGTGGCTCAGAGAGAAACAAGTTTTAGTTTTCATATCACATAATGTAATAAAAGCAATAGCTTATGTATGGATTTTTGGCTAACTTTACGGAACACAATCCCATATTAATTGGCTTTCTATAATCCTTGATGTCAGATGAGAGAACAATTTAGACTGTGTATGTGCATTTGAGCCTCTATAACTTGAAAATTAGCCTTTTTGAGATGAGAAATTAAATTGCCCCAGGCGGTTTTGTTCAGAACCATTTTTCCCAGGAGTCCTGCATGCCATTCCCAATTAATCCACTGGCGTTGGTAGATAAGCCTTCAGTGTTGGGAGCTCCTTGGGGAAATCCCAGGGTGTACCTCCAAGGGTTAAAGAAAACCAAATCACATGCAAACAATATGTAATGTGTGACTTGCAGATGGGGCTCCTGGCTGTCTGCCAAGGTTCACCCGTGAATCTTTGATTGATATCCTCTGGCTTAATTTGGAATGCTGTTAGCACTATCAAATTATTCCAAAAATCTATAATATTTGATCCTGACCTTTTAGAATTAAGTTTATCTCAGTGAAATTTAGGATAAAATGACTTTTTAAAGTTGCTGAGATTATTTGTTTGAGCCTAAGAGAGTCTTGGAGTTCCTTCAACATTTGTTCAGCTTGGTAACCTTCCAAACTCTAGCATTTTTACTTGCTTTCAATTCTGAGCTTGACTGTATCCTAAATTATGATCTCCGGGTTGAGTGTGGAAATTGCAAGTTATCCCATCCAGCAGTGACCCATCCAGAGTTGCTGCTTGGCTTCCTCCTGTGGACTCTGACGCCCTTGAAAGAAACAGATGGAAGATTTTTTTCAATCTAGAACTTAGTATGTTCAGTCTAGAACTATCTGTGTTACTCTGCTTTTGGAGAAGAGCAATCTGAAGAACAATGGCTTGAGAAAGGCATTGGTAAGCTTGGCTTCACTTGGCTGTGATCTAATTGAGTGGAATGGCCAAAATTCTGCCAATGATTAGGATAAATTCTTAGAAGGGGTGATTTCAGATCTACATAGCGTTCTAAACTGGAAAGGCCTTTAAAGATAAATCTGTTTCTTCACACCCCTTTGGAACAACTGCTAGGCCTAGGATTGGTGGTATCTTTGATTTGCCCAGGAGCTCACACTTAGTTAACAACAGAGCACGTTTCTCTTCTTTCCGTTCCCCTTAAAAACAGTCAATTTTTATGTGTCCTAAATATTAATGTAAAACAAATTTCCAAATTGGGCTGGAGGTGTAGTCCTGCCTAGCATGTGGAAGGCCCTGGGTTTAATATTCAGCATTGAAAATAAAATTCAAAAATATAATTAAAAACAAGAAAGAACCATAATCCCATGTTTGTAGATTTCAGTGTTATGTAATAAAAATGTATTATGAGCTTCATATAATTCCAAATTTTCTAGTAGGTATATTGCAGAAAGAAAAAAAAAGTTAAAATTCATTTTAATCAAAATGTCTTATTTGACCCAGTGAATCCAAAATGTTATCATTTCATCCTATAATTAACATAAATGTTATTAATAAGATATTTTGCATTTTTTTATTATACTCGGTTTTCAAAATCTGGGATATGTGTCTCTCACACACACACACACACACACACACACACACACACACACACAGAGCATAACTCAGTTTTGACTACCACATTATAAGTGTGCAGTGGTTACAAGTGGCTAGTCTTTAAAATGTAATATAGCCCATTTTTTTATATTACTTTTGTCTCTTCCTCCATGCATATGTATTGTCATATGGCTGCAGTTTTAAAGTACATCCAAATTGTGATTTTTCAAGTAATATAAACATGTATCTTTAAAAAATTTTTTTAAATATTTGTTTTTATAAATACACAAAGTTAATCTAACAAATACCTCATACCCCCTTTTCAGACTTAATGAATGTCACATTTTCTTTGTTATAATTCTTTTCACATTTTCCAAAGTTTTTTTTTAAGTTTTAAGTTTTTTTTTAAGGTGGACACAATATTTTTATTTTACATTTATGTGGTGCTGAGGATCGAACCCAGCGCCTTGTGCATGCTAGGCGAAGCACTCTACCGCTGAGCCACAACCTAGCCCACAAAGTTTCAATTGAAGACCTCTTTGTGCATCCTAGTAGATCCTCATTTTTTACATAGTCATAATTTTTATTGTTATCCACACCTGATAGGTCATTTAGGTTCTTTTGAGTTTTAACTGCAGTCAGCATCTTGGAGCTTTTGGCATCTGTTGTTATTTCCTTGAAATAAATTTGCTAGAGTTTTCCAAGGAGGACTGCCAGGCTGTTTTCTGGAAGGACTGTTCTGACTTACAGCACTGTCCAGTGTTCTATTAGGGTTGCCACAGTCTGGCCAAGGAATCACCCTTGATTTCATTCCATGTCAATATCAACTCTTGTTTCTTTTCTTTCTTTTTTTTATTTTAAATATATTTTTTAGTTGTAAATGTATCTTTCATTTTATTTATTTGTTTATATGTGGTGCTGAGGATTGAACACAGGGCCTCACACATGCCAGGCAAGTGCTTTACCACTGAGCCACAACTCCAGCCCCGGTTGTTTGTATTTTCATTTTGATAGGAATGTGTGTGCACTTTACAGAAAATTTGGAAGATTAGTAGTGGATACATTATTTTTTTTTGGTACAGGCATTGAACCCAAGCATGCTTAAACTACTGAGCAACACCCCCATCCCTTTTTAATATTTTATCTAGAGACAGGGTCTGTCTTGAGTTGCTTAGGGCCTCACTAAGTTGCTGAAGAAGTTGGCTTTGAACTCTTGATTTTCCTGCCTCAGCCTCTGAGCTGCTGGGATTACAGGTGCTCACTACCGTGCCTGGCAATAGTTGACTCTTTTTAATCTTTTCAAGGAATTGCTCTAGTTTGTACTATGGTTTTTTCATGCTATTTTAAATGCATGCAATCTCTCCATGAGGGATTGCATGCATTTAAAATAAGAGTGAGATGATATGACCACGAGGGTAGATTCACAGCCCTTTCTCTTCAGTTTCTGCTTAAATACTCCAGCATGGTATTCATATGTCTTGTGTTTCTCAGAACTCTTTCTTGTACAAGAACTGTGGGATGGGGACTGGGGATGTGGCTCAAGTGATAGTGTGCTCGCCTAGCATGCATGAAGCACTGGGCTCGATTCTCAGCACCACATAAAAATAAAGATTGTGTCCACCTAAAACTAAAAAATAAAAAAACAAAACAAAACTGTGGGATGAGTTTTCAAGTTAGTTGTCCACATTTTGATCCTATTTTTTCCTGCAGATAATAAATGTTAATAAACTAGAACATTACTAATGCGAATGTGTTTTCTTTCAATCATTGGAATATAGCACAGGAAATGTTAATATGACATACGTGTGCTGACTCATTATAATATATCAGTATTCTGTAATATTTCCTATATGGTAACTTTTAAAATATAATACTGCAGGGAATTTGAAATGAATTTTCATGTTTCTTTCCAATCATTAATAATGACTATCTTTCAATATAACCCTGTAAGATGTGAAGAGTTCCAATGACAGTCTTGTCATGATGCTTTATTATTCCTACTTAAGTAGTGTATAATGAATGCTAATATGGAGAAGTTAATTGCTGCTATTTTTAATTTAGGAAGATCCTGAATATAAATTATATGGTAATCTTTGATTTTTTTCCCCCCTTCTGAAACCAGCAGACTAAAGCACAGGTAAAACGTAATAGCTGGCATCAGGGTGACTTCAATTATGAACGTCAGGAAACGTTGACTATCAGCTCAGCAAGAGTTAATGATTCTGGAGTGTTCATGTGTTATGCCAATAATACTTTTGGATCAGCAAATGTCACAACAACCTTGAAAGTTGTAGGTAAATATCTCTATGGGAATGTATAAATTACTGGCAATGGTGAAAGAAGAAATTACTAGATAGTTTCCTTTTTATGTAAATGGAATTCTAAGAACAGATTCTTGGAATTTTATTATCACTGAATGAATGAATGAATGAATAATCTCCCTGTCGCCTCTTACAACTACAACACAAATGAATTCCACCAGTTTCACAGAAGAAAAGTCTGTCTCTGAAGTTTAAACCTGTCATTCCCTGTAACCACCCACTCTCCCTTTCCCGGCAAAGTACACGTTGAGCTTTTTCTAAAATTCTAGTCTTTGCTGAATGACTTGAGTTTGGAAACGGTTGTAGGTTTTATTTTTATTGGGAAGGACAAATGCTTAGAGGCTGGAGTATTTCTCTGAGTCTTTCTCGGTAGCTTTCCTCTGCCCGTCATTGTGATCATCTGTGGTGCATCCAGAGTTGGGCACCTCCTGCCTGGTGCTCCCCGTCACCTCCCTCTGTCAGCAACCTTGAAGGTGATGGATGGCATAAGCCTTCAGGAAGGAGGCCCACTGGGCCGTGGGGCATTGGTTCTAGAGAATCAACTAGAAGAGGGTCATCTGCCCTGACCCCATCTTATCTGGTATGCACAGTTGGTTCAGCTTTATCTTCCCTGCTCTAGAAATCCCACTCGGCTCGTTTTCCAAACATCTCTTTACAGAGAGCAAAGTGTAGTAAGTTACTTGAAGTTGCTTGATGTTTTGGGGGCTGGGGGTGTAACTCAGTGGTAGAGCACTTGCCCAGCATCCTGAAGGCCCCGAGTTCTATCCTAGCACACACCCCCTCCCCCCTCACGAGAGTTGATTTACTGAGAAAAATAATAATTATCTTAATGTAATCCTATTCCTAGTGCTTGGCTTTAATTAAATACTTGTGGGGTGGTGGAATTCATCATCATGAGCAATATTGAAATGATGTAATATTTGTTTACATATCTCTCCCCCTCCCCAAGTTTCTTCAGTAATTTATGTTGCAGTGACTGATTTCTGATTCACCCCATGGTGATCTCACCAAAATTTTGGGGTTTTCGCCCATGTTCTAATGGACAGTATCTCACCAGAATGAATACAGAGAAGTTACGTCTTGCAATTATAGAGTTAGCACACAGAAAGTATACCAGTTTGTCCCTAAATGTGATTGTGAACCATTTATTAATTTGAATAGAAAGCTATGCTTTTAAAATATTAAACTCCATAAGCACTAATTTGCTAAGTTGATTAGGGAGCATGTTGATATATCAGCTTCAGCTCGAGAAAGCAATTAGTAAGGATGTTTTGAGCATATTGTTGTATGTAATCGGATTTTAAAAATCCATTCATCAATTTCCAAGAATTATAAATGTGTGACTGGAAAGACTTGTGGCTATGAAATCTGACTCTGGTTTTGTATTGTTTCGGGAGGGGGTCAGGATGGAAGGGGAACAGGAAAAGACAGAGAAAAGTAAATTTTTAGCAATTGGGAATAGGATTCGGATCCAACATGGAATGGTAGAGAGAAGGTGGCTTTGGGACCATCCTGATTTTCCCAAATTGTGTAGAGTTAAGTTATACATGATGTTACAGGGATACATATAATGTGGATATGACATAGATACATGTAAAATAGATATAGATAATAAAAAAGTTACTATTATGAAGCATATCAACATAACCATAATCCCACCTAGTGATGGTTTTTTATTTTCATTTTGTGGCTAGAGAAACTTGAATCTGACCTGATTTTCAGTTGAGGGCTGCACTACTTAACTTTCTAATGCACCCTGCTTCAGTTCCACCTACATTTTCTCTTCTAAGAAACACAGCCACTAACTCCCACACTGGAAAGGAGAAGCAGAAGTAGGTTTCATGGAAATATCAGATGTAGAATTTATACTTGATTAAATATTCAAGTATCACCAACTTCTTAATGCATAGGTACTTGAAAACGATTATACTTGATGTTATAACAATTCAGATGGAGTTCTTTGATTCTTTTTGTTACAGCAACCAAGGTAAAGTTTTAATAATTTTTACATTTTGTGGATTTGAAGCTGTTTCACTGTATTGAGCAAACTGGACTACAGAAAGCTCAAGAAGACTAAGTATTTTCTATACAGTCATTGTGAAAGAAATAATTTCAGTGCAAATATTGTCTGAAATATCTGAATACTTTGCATTGTGTACGGTTTTTGAATGTATGACCTTGAGAACCTGAAATTTTAATGTAACATGCATATGATGAATATTTTAGTCCCTTAAAATTAACCTTAATTGGCTTACAGAATGGCAAGGTATCATTTATGATTCAATAATGAAATGGGGTCAGGGTTTCCATCATTCTCCAGGTTTTATTTGGATAATTTTTCATTCTCACCTGAAAGATCCTTTTTAAATTGGTAAAATGGACAAAGAAGATTTTGACTGTGTTTTTTTTTTTTTTTTATTCTGAAATTGTAGGAAATTAAAGAGCAGTAAAAATGACAATGCCAGCCTCGTGGATCTCAATATTATTTACCCAGATAGCACCAAAATTAATGAGTAATTTTAAATTGTATAATTAGTTCTCGGCGGACACAACATCTTTGTTGGTATGTGGTGCTGAGGATCGAACCCGGGCTGCACGCATGCCACTCGAGCGCGCTACCGCTTGAGCCACATCCCCAGCCCCCTTAAATTGTATAATTAAATAAATAGAAGAATAAAATTAAATCTCCATCATCCTATTAACTTGTTAGAACTACTTGTAAGATTTTGTTAAACTGATAATATTTTTGTACATAAAAATTCCAATAATACATACAATTTTACTTATATTCTCACAAAATAAGAGTGGGTATGCTGTAGTAAAAAGAGGTAGACCTGACTTCTCAGACCTGTGTTCAAGCCCAGTGTCTGCCGCAGAGCTCTTAAGCCAAATGTAAATCATCTATTTCATCTAATAATTAGAGGTCATCATCAACTTTGTCTATAAACTAGATACCAAATCTATATATTTTTTCATCTATAGAGATTTCAGCTCTTTCATTTTTATATTTAAACATCATGATTGTTAAGTAAAATGTATGCTAAAGTGCTTAAGGTAGCCCTTGGCATATAGTAAACAGTCCATAAATAGTGGCTATAAAAATAATATGGACAATTATTTTATTGCTCTTTTTCAAGTTCTATTTTTTTTCTTATATAGCTATTTCTAGGGCTGCGTTATTTAACCAGTTTTCTATTTTTGTCATCTCAAAATTATTATGACTAGTATCAACAGCCCTGCTTTTGTGTCTGTCTGTCTCCCTCACTCTAGGAAGAATTCTCAAGTGGAAATTACAGTAGTAAGATTTAAAAATAGATAATTAAAAAAAACTATATTGCTAAATGCTTTCTAAAAGAACTGTGCCAGTTTAAAGTGTGTGAGTCAGTGTGCTACTTTTGCCACACTTGCAAGATTCTTGAATTTATTCTAAATTAGTTTTGCTATTTTTAATAAGGGAAACCTGGTAGGGTATTTTAATGACTAGTTTGGCCAAGCGTTTTTCCTTTTGTATTTTAATGTCTTTTCCCTGTTACCTCAATTAACTTTACTACACAGACATTTAAAAATGTTTATGTGTTCAAATTTCTTTTGTAGAATGTTTTTGTTCTGTTGTTTCCCAAAAGTCTAGAACCTGCCACATCCTCTTAAGTCTGAGAGGAATCAGTACCACGGTTTAATTAAAAGGATGCTTTGATTCTTCATTAAAATGGTCTTTGATTTATCAGTGATATATGAGGGCACCTAAGTTTATTTTTCTTCAAATACAAAATGGCATTCCTTCAGCATCTTTTGTAGAAATTAGGGCTATTTTTTCTTCACTCATGACATTTTTTAATCATATGTATAAATTTATAGGGTCTGGGCCTGGGCTAAGTATTTAGCCCCAAGACCTACTAACCTAATAAGCACTGGGACTAGTGGAATGAGAAGCCTTTTGAGATGGTGACAAGTCTTTTAAAGAACTGTTGTTTTGGGAAGTCAGGATTCCCTGTGTGTGTTTCTTCTCACCTTGAGACAACAGTTTCACAGAAGTAAAGCAAAATGAATCAGGGCTAGTTAAACTTGTCTGGCTTGTTGCTAGTTGATTAACTAGCAACAAGCAAGTCCTCTTTTTAATTCTAAGATGACTGTGTGTGTGTGTGTGTGTGTGTGTGTGTGTGTGTGTGTGTGTGTGTGTGTTTTCTTGGACGGTGGTAGATAATGATTCCTGTCTCCTTCTGTCACGATTAGATAAAGGATTTATTAATATCTTCTCCATGATGAATTCTACGATATTTGTAAATGATGGAGAAAATGTAGATTTGATTGTTGAATACGAAGCGTTCCCCAAACCGGAACACCAGCAGTGGATGTACATGAACAGCACCACCGCTAACAAGTGGGACGATTACCCCAAGTCTGAGAATGACAGCAATATCAGGTAAGAAAGGGACCTGGGCTGGGGGCGGTGTCACACACGTACCCCACTTCCACTGGCCTTCCCAGGTCCTATTTCTGTGACCTGTCAGTGTACGAAAAGACACCGGACCAAGGGTTGGAGGGATGAGGAAGGGTTTATGGCAGTCCAAGGCTGCCTCTCCAGGCCCCATCTGGCATTCCATTGTGCCTGCGCCTCTCTGCCTTGGTCTTCTCCTTTGTAAAAGGGGCGAGGTGTCTCTGAGTGTAGCTGTCTTCTGAGCGTAGCCCAAAACAGTGACCAGAATATATTCAGGACACAATAAATAATTTTCTCCAGAGGATGAAGAAAGTTAATGCCTTTACTCATTGCTTAAAACTCTAAGGAAACTAAGAATCATTAAGTAGGTAGCTTTGGGCCAGGTAGTGAGCTCAAGGGCTTTTATATCAGACCTCTTAGTTGATCTTGATCTTCAAAATATTATAATAAAATAGTAGCAACAGAAATGCCTTATGCATGCTGTATATGTATAAGGCCAGGAGAGTAGCCAGGGACGGAAAGAGAGGGCACAGGCTCGAGGTTTCCTGGGTGCTCAGATGGCCTTTCCAAAGCTTTGTTACCATACAGCAGGCACTTGTCCCAAGTCAAGTGTATACGTTCATTAATGTGGATTTTGTTAACACTGAATTAAATGAGCCCTATTTTCCCCCAAACAGGCATCTGTTTCCTGGTAGACATGAAAAAGACATGGACAGAGGTGGAGGTGGTGTCCACTGTGGGCTGATTTATTGTCCTTTCCTTGTAGATATGTAAGTGAACTTCACCTGACCAGGTTAAAAGGGACTGAAGGAGGCACGTACACATTTCTCGTGTCCAACCCTGACGTGGACGCTTCCATGACATTTAACGTTTACGTGAACAGTAAGTCCAAGGGAGGGGCTCCTTATCTTTTTTATTTTTTATTGCATGTTGTGGCTCGTGTTTGTAACAGCTGCAGAACCGAGCTCACTTGTGTACCATGTAAATAATGTTTCATGATAATTTTGACCTTAACAAAGACCTTGTGGTTTGGTGGTGAGGAGAGAAAACCAATTCCCTGTCCTACTTTTCACTGACCACATGACCTTGTTCAAGTGGCACAAATTCTGGGGGCTGTCTTTGAAGTAAACAGGAGCCATACAAGTTGAAAAGAGCAAGTTGAGGGAAAAACGCGTTATTATTGATTGTTGAAACAGGAGCCAGATGTTGAATGGGAGCTGGGTTGTGGTGTCAGGTGGGAAAGAGAGGCCATCAAGCCCTGACATGATTTCTTTGTTACAGTGCTTTCTCTTTTCCAGGCTCTGATGCAATTTGTGTTTAGATTGTCCTCCCTTAAGACCAGTGCAGTATTGATCCAGCTCAAGGGTTCTTCCCAAGTAACGTGTGGGTCTTGTGGGAGCAGGTAGCAAGCAGGTGGTCTAGGAAGGAGGGTGGCTGTGTTTGTTCCTGGGAACCTCAATACTGCCCTGCTGTGGCCCTGCCCACCTCCTACCTGCCACATCTTAAAGAAATAATCTGCACAGGGGTTGAGGCTGAGGAGGGCCCATAGGGAGTGTCTGCCACGTGTAGGGCTTCTTCCTGACTCTACACCTGGTCTAACTTGCAATTCCAGGGAAGGGTGGACAGGTGCCTACCACACCATACCCACTAGAGTCTCCCAGTAAAAGGTCTGTCAGAATTGGCCCTTCTGGGGTTTGGAGGATCTGGAGACTATAGGGAAACATTCCCCACAGATAATTTAGCAACTGAACTGAGTGCTTTGTGTGTGTTAGGCTGCAGGAGGGGTTGTGGAAACAAAGGCTTCCAGCCCATTCCTTGCCCTGAAGGAGCTTACCTGCTGTTTTGCATAATTAACTCTTTGTGTGCTGATGCCCCTCAGCCAGGGGGATGGGATGGGTAGTCTGATCCATTAAAAAAAAAATGAAGGAACAAAACAGCTAGTGAGTGACACTCAGGACAGATTTTTGATTACTAATCTATAGAGATTTTCTTACTATATCAGCATTTCCAAAATTGCGTTTCATAAATTACATGTTAATATGAGTTTAGATAAAAAGGTCACATGCATGTAATTAAAAACATGTTTTTTTTTTTTTTTTAATTGCCTCTCCAGAATCCTTAATGTGCTGATGTGCATCCCACCTTCCCTGGAGGATGCTCTGGGGTGGAGTGTATTATCCCAAACTTGTTTGACCACAGAACTCGCCCTTTTCAAGGGAAACATGTTAATTATTATTTCTGTTCCTCAGAGCAGTTTTGATTACGTGGTATCTCATTGGCCCTCAACTCAAATGTTTCTAGATTAATTCAGATGTTAATCAAAGGAGCTTAGTATATTACACAGGGGCAAAATTATCTGTTTCTGAAAAATCTTAATATTCAACTAACCTAAGAGGTAACTGTAGGCAAATCAATATCCTTGCAAGCTGATATGCATACTGATCATTCAAAACTTTTTTTCCCCCACTCTAGTACAGCAGAGCTTCTCAACCCATCTAAGGCAAAATGACTCCCTGTTCCACCCCCAACCCCCAGATTCCCAATTCACCGTGGATCAATACTTCTTCCAAAATACAGCCAAAACCAGTTGCTTGAAAAGTGAAAAACAACAGAGATATACAAAATACAAGCATGAGCTGTTTCATTCATTATATCCCACTGATTTAAAAAAAATGGCTTTGCCAAGTCATCTCCTAAATGCTCTGAGCCTCCCTGTCTTTCTGTGGACCAGTGTGGGTGTGGAGTACCTCATAGAACTCAACATTGAGAAGCTCAGCAGTTGGGGAGTTTATAAAAATCAAGTGTTTTGTGTTCTCTCTTTTCCCCCAGTACCAGGGCCAGAGGGACATTTAGATAGGTTCCTTTCTGTGGTCTTCCCGCTTCCATCTGTTACAGAGCAATCTGTCTTTGGTCTTGAGGTACTGGCCCCAGAAGGACATTTCTCGCCTTTTTTCTGGGGGGCAGAATTGCTACCACTTCACTTAGAATTCTAACTTGCCATCCGACTAGACCAGATTCTAACACTTTCGATGATGAACTTGCACCTCTTTGAAATTAGATCAAGTGTGCCCTCAGCCTGCCAGGGGACCTCCTTCTAGGGCCTGGGTATCCAATCCCCTGCTGTATCACACAGGGATACAGATAGGACAAGGTAGGCTCTGCCCTCTGTGGTTAAGTTCTTCAGGGAGTCTCTTCATTCATGAGTCAGTTTGTTACAAACACTGATTGAAGGCACTCATTTTCACTTGCTAACACATTGGACTTCCAAATGTGAACTCCCTCTGGTGGGGCCAGCATTTCTTAAATGCTCTTTTCATTTATAATTGGTTGATTTTTTTTGTGTGGACTTTTTTTTTTATTGAAAAAAGAATCATAGTTTATAGTATTATGGGATAAGCCTTTTTATTTTGAAATTTGAAATCAAAAGCTAAATTTGTTTTAAAGTTTAGAACTTGGAACAGATGTGTTCATTCGGGCATCATCTTACCTGAGGCAGTTACATAGGTAGGTCTATTGTGTGGCTTATTCTGTAAATATGCTTAGCCACCAGGGTGAAAGGAATCACATTCTGCAAAAATTAGAATTATAAAAACCAAGGTAATAAATGCACAGGGTTGCTGCAGAAATTCAGGTTGTTTAGTGACACTGATTCATAATTGCTTAATAGATTCACTGTTGCAAAATGTGAGTAGAAACCCTTGATTTGGAATGAATAAATGTTTGCTTTTTTTTGGTGGAAAAAAAACCATTTGTTTTGAAATTTTCATCTGTAGATTTCAGTATATGGAGTGTATGTGAGGTTGGGAGGTGGGACTTTAATCCCTGTGTAGGAGACTTTTAAATTATTGAGCTCAAACAATTTGTGTTAAGAGAACAATTTAATGTGTAACATGTTAAGCTTGAGAATGTTTTAATAGTGTTTTTAATTTCTCTAACCAAGCCATGATATATATAGTCTGTTAAACTGGCTCATTGTCACTCAAGGTAGTTTTTATGGTCTGAAGCTAGGATGTATTTGCCTTCTTTGAATAGAACTTCCAATGGAAAATAAACTGATGGGAGTTTTCATTACAAAACAAAGCAAGCTGGGTGTGATCATACATGCCTGTAATCCCAGGGATTGAGCAGGTTGGAGCAGGAGGATCAGAAGTTCAAAGCCAGCCTAAGCAATTTAGCAAGACCTTATCTCAAAGAGTAAGAAGGACTGGGGATGTAGGTCAATGGTAAAGCACCCCTGGGCTCAGTGCCCAGTACAAAAAAACAAAGTAAGATAAAATTCAGTTATTTTTTGCATTGAATTTGCATTACTGTGATTACTCTTGGACTCCCTTATCCAAGATGAATATAGAAACCAAATTCCTAGTTACAAAAGTTTTTGGTGAAAGTGGTGCTTTGTTTCCCTTGCAAATAAAAATTAGGAGGAATGTGAAATTCTAAAAACTTTAAATCTTTACCTAAAAGTATGTATGTAATAGGGCTTTTACTTTTTCTCAAATTCCTGTAGATGTTAGAAAAAATTGCATCATCAAGATTTTATAGTTAGCCTGTGCTACTTACTTAGAAATCCACAGTTTCTTTGGTTATAAGAAACATCATACAGTGAGATTCTTTAATCAGATCCTGGGCAAATAAAAGGCCAGGTTTGTACTTCAACCTTAATTTATATTAAAGTCAATTTAATTGGGCTTTTTTTTTTTTTCTACACTACATCAGATTTCTTGGATGAATAACAAGCTTTATAGTGGGCTCAAGTGGTAGAAAGTGAAGTAAATGTTTTGTAAGTTTATTTTGGCTTCTTATTTCAAATACTCATATGAGTCCTGAAGTAGTAGTATATCTAATTATAGAAAAAAGTTGATTATAAATCCATTACTTTTTAAACCTCTGGAGTGATTTTTTTTTTTTTAAAGATCCTGTAACTTTAAACTAAAACTTCAAAACATCATCAGCATTTCCAAATTGGTATTTTGAACTTAAAGTATGTGGCATTTAAATGGTATGTAGGGGTCATCAAGAGATCTCTCTCCAATCTTAAAGGAGCACCCTTTAGTGACAAAACTCAGCCAGTTGAGGAACATTGCTATAGTCTTGCATGGTGATGACCGGAGGCTGGCATTGAGAACCAAAGGGTCTGCTTTCATCCCGGGGCCTGCAAGAGCACCTTTTACATTCAGCCAGACTGGAAGCCCAGATGACCCACTGGCCTGCATCAGATTACTCTCAGAAACCACTGATGTCATTCCATTTATGGAATGGGATTAAAGGGGGGATTGAGGTTCAATTTAAGGACATGCTAAATAATGTATTATTTCTAAATGTCACTGTGTCTTATAATTAACATCCTGCCTGGTGTTAGGCGATTATTTATAGATCCTACAATATACCAAGATCAGCCAAAGCAATCAATCAATCACCCGGAATGAAGTCTCTGATGAGAAAGTTCCCCTTGGACCACATTGACAGAGTGTGGGTATTTTTGGTCAGGACTGAATCCGGTTGCAGATGGCTGGACCAATTCTAGGTAGAGGCCACCGCAGCGCAGTGGCCTGCAAGTAAAGCACATGGCCAGAGTGCCATTTGCCAAAAGAGAAGGTGGGCCTGTCCAGCCGGCCGTGTAGATTCCGGGGACTGCCTGCCAGCCTTCAGCCATCTGGGTCACCCACCTGGCTGGAATCTCAGGGACCGCTTCCCAAGCTGAAACGTTAACGGCCAGCTTGCCTTCAAGGACTGCTCGGTTTGGGGCCTTTGGGCCATTGTGTCCTTCAAGAAGATCCTCATAAAACAGCAAAGTTACTAGAACTTGGCTTCTTTCGGAAGTTGGATATCTTTTCCTACCTTATAACCCTCCTATTTTTGGGGGGGTGGGGTGGAGGGGAGCTGGA